AGTAAACTTATAAAAAAGGATTAACTTTATATATTCTTAATAATAAGTTAAGCAGTAAGTAATAAAGGGAAAAGTTAGACTAGTAGGTAGTATTAGGCAAAAAAGCTTATTTATTAGAGATTTAGTTATATTTAGGACTAGGTATTTAGTTTAATAAAGCTTCATTAAGCTATAAAGGTTTTGAATATAAAGGTGCAAAACGGCAACGGCTCTCATACCACATGGGAGTATGACGAGTCAAGCCGCGAGCTTCTCCTCAAGACAACGCAGCGGGATCGCGACGCCAAGACCATTGAGTGTCTGAGATATATCTATGACGTTGGAGGACGTATTAGCTTCAAAGGCAATCTCGCGCACGAGGACGTTTTCTTCCGAAACAGGAGAATCGACTCTTCAAATAATTATCTCTACGATAGCTTTGGCCGCCTCAGAAGAGCTACTGGCCGGGAGATGGTCAATACGGATGTTTCAGGCCCTTCGATTTCATCACCAATGTCAATAGCGCTTGCTACTGGGAGTGGGCTACGTTCCAGCAACTTCAACAACGAAAAGCTCACGAGGTATGCAGAGACTTATAACTACGATATATGTAACAACATTCTCAAAATCTGCCACACGACAGAAGATAAAAGATCAGCCAACTGGGTTAGGGAGTACGAATACTCTGATCTAGAAGCAAACAATAGATTGGCTAGAACAAAGGTACAAGGAAGATGGGAGCACTACACATATGACAAGGCGGGCTGTATGACATCTATGTCAGGCTACTCAAACGTTGGATGGGATGCTTTTCAACGCCTCAAGTCTAGCGCACGCCAACGCATTAAACAGAGTAAAGACAGTATGACTAGCTCTGACAATCAATCTCTTTCAGAGATAACGTGGTTTGTTTACAACAGCGATGGAACACGAGTTCGAAAGGTGACGGATCAATCGACTGCTCCTCAAAGCCAGAATCCAAAACGGTTCAAGGAGACGCTGTACCTATACTCTTGTGATATCTATCGCAAGTACCACAACCTCGGAGACGGCTCTCTCAAACCAAAAGTCGAGACCTACACGAGTCTGGTCAAGGAACACTAAGAAACTATGGGATGACTGCGGCCTATAAGGTTAAGC